ATTTAGGTGTAATTCAAGAAAGGGAAATGGGCAACCTTTGATCTTAATTAACATATTTGGATGGTTGAAATACCATGGATTAATTGGTAGAAACCAATCTCACTTTTTCCAATTAAAGGATAAATTTGAAATTTCCTAGATTATTAAAATTTGGAAGTCTGTCAAATTAAATGATCCTAGACTTAGGGGAAATAGGGGTATGGTTTTGGGTGTAAAGAACTCATTAATTTAATACGACCATTTGATGTTCCAATGACATTAAAAAGTTTTTTAATAAATCATCATTCACTTAAAATTCAATTTCTTTAAAAAATTATTAAGACATCCACCACTTAAATGAGGATTAGAAAAGTGAATGTAACTAGAAATTGAAAACCTTTAAAACACTACAAGCCCATATTAAAGCTAAAATTGGCTAAGTGTCTCTAACTTTCCCATTTAAGGGTCTTCACCTACATAATTCTCAAATTAAATTACAAGTGATGATTCCCCTACTCTTAGGGATAATGGAAACATCAATGTTCACTGAGCATTAGAGGTATTTACAGGATGAGTTATTAAGCGACATAATAAGTTTAAATAAGCTCGAGACTTTCCACCAGACGGTGAGAGGGAAGCATGGACCGCTTCTTTCTCCCGACCTTTTGAATACCTCAGAGGTATACTAAACCTAACATGTTTTGCTTAACTTTGCTTGACGAAATCATCCTTAATCAAATTAATAGGTGCTCACCAAGATATGATTTAGTATTTGGTAGATCACTAAAACCTTATTTTTTCACTTTACATAAAATGCCCTTACATGCTTTTTGAGTTTTAGGTGGTGGAACGAGAAGACTCATCAGGTACGCTTTTACAATTTACAGTACCGTCTTTTTTTATACTTTCAACACTGTACGTTTATGCTTACAAAACTTGCATGTTAAATAACGATGTCACCCTTCATGAAAACCAAAACTGTTAGGATAGTCGTAAAACCAAAACCAAATTAAAATAAACCAAGATAAAATTCATCACCACAACATTCAAGTATAAAATAACTCAAAATTTAATCACGAACATCACAAAAACCACAACTACAACTAAATTAAGACGTCTCTATTGGATGATCGGGAATCCCTCAAAGGAACTAACCTACGATTGCTAACGAGGCTTCCCACGGTATAAATGAAAGTATGGAACTCATTAAGTTGAGTTTAGTAAATTCATTTGGACTAAGTAAATCCAATAAAAAATAGTGTTACCTAAACGAGGGAACCGTATGATCCTAACCGGTGTTGCTCTAATCAACTTTAACATGACCCATAATATTTAAAGAACTACAACCATAGGGCCATCTGGTTTGACATCATAACTTGACACACTAGAAAACTTAAACTCGTCACGACGAGGAGCTTGTAGCATGGCGGGCAGCTCGACCATTTTCAACAAAAAAACCTGCCTACATCAGCTAAACCAATTTTCTTCCTTAGAATTAAACAACTAAGCCGCTGATCTTGAGGTTGTTTTCTTATGCAACATAAATCCTCAAATCATCTTTAGGTATTTGTATAGCTCTGTTGTACACTTAACATCTTCCAGGCTATTTGTGTGATCGTTTCACATGAATGCAAATTCTAACAAATAAAATTTGGCAGGATACAACACCTAAATATTTCTCCTCAAAACTGAAGTCAAACAATTGGATAGACTGAGAAGTCACCGAGGTTCTCCTCGGATCTGTGACATCCCCTAGTTCTTCATCATTTGGATTCTACAATAAACGTTCCAAATTTGAGTCATTTCCATTTCACATCTCGTTTGTCCGATCTCGTTGAAAATTCATATCCTTTTAACCTCTTCAAAGATAATATTTTTCTGATTTTTATCAAGAGTTTTCTTAGATGACTTCGGTCATTTAAGATGTAATTAACTATAGAAGTTTGTCCTTATAGAAAGTTATAGAAAGTTTGTCCGAACCCAGCTTAATATAAACCCTATTTAATTCTTCGTATTAGAAAGGGAAACATGTCAGCAAATAAAACGGTTTTGCAGACCAAATGGACGTCATATATTTCTTAGTTTATTTGATCAAGTCTCATCCTCAAATCTTGTGTTTATCCTTCAGGATAGGTATAGGGTTTAAGGTATAGTGCATTTATATTAAATAAGGAAAAACCACTATTTCAACTTTTAAAATGAGAAATACAACTTTCATAATTTTCTAAAACTTATATATATATATATATTTATATATAAATTAAAACGTCCTTCCAAAACGGGCGACAGGATTTCGATTCCGGCAGCCGACAGCTTCCAACGGGCAACTCTACAACTTAAAATAGTGTCGACATAACACATCCAATTTATCTATTCATTTCACCATATCTTAGAGTAGGGAGAAAGATAAAGGAAACTACTCAGACTTCATGATAAATATACAACAAAACACAAATTT